AAAAAATTTTTTTAAAAAACTTTCATTATAAAATAATTCAAATAGTACATGTTCTCTGATTGGCCATAAAACCATTTTACATGAGCATATGCAAACATGGTTTTTGTTCCTCTTTCATTAGTTATTTTATAAGAGAAATGTAAAATGGTTTCCGTGTTTACATAGCCTGATGTAAACACTTGGGAGAACACTCAATAAGCTGGAAACCACTCCGCTTCGCATTGTGGTTTCCTACACTTATCTCGTGTTCTCCCAACCTCCCGCATGTTTACATCAGGCTATGTAAACATGGAAACCATTTTACATTTCTTCTTGTGAACCCATGAATATATGGGATGTGGCAGGTTTTCTTGCTTTGCATGTTAATACAAATCTTCAAAAACACTTCTTTATAGCCTCACTATGCCTTTCCATTTTTGTCCAATTCTATATCAGTAGCCACCTGCAGTCTCCGACTGCCTGTTTTGTGAATATATAACCTAAAAGCCTTTTTTTTGTGTTAAGTGAGGTAAGTTAATTGGGACATTGTAATTTTTTTCTTTTCAGCAGCTGCATTCAATATTAAAGGTTTCCTGTGATGTCTGGGCCATCAAAGGTAAAACTAATGACTCATAAATTTAATTATGAAGCTATGAGAATGAGATTTTAGTGCAAATGGGACCCTTTTCATGTAACGTTAAGCACAACATTTACACTTTTGTGTGTCATTGTTTATAATGAAACTCAGTCCTTGCAGATTCTTGACCAAGGAAAACTATTCATTATTGTCAGGATCTCACAATATTTAATTGTACAGTTAATCAATGAGAAACTCACTTAAAAGTATCCAAAGGAACATTTTTCTGTCAACACTTGCTGTAGACATTTATGTCTCAAGCAGGTTTGAGTGGCTTAATTACTTCTTTACTCCTGTAACTTTCTACTTTGTCAGTATATCTCCCCATGGATGTCCTTAACAAAACTTAATCACAAAGTCACAAAGTTGTCAATCACTTTGTTCTTCAATTTCAATGAATTTTTAAAATTTAAATGATCAGTCCATCATTATAAGACAAAGTATCCCTCAGCAGCCTCCTCTATCTCTGAGGTCTTTCACAGCTTGGTGTTGCTTGTGTGTCAGGCACTGTTGCTCCATCAATTGCAAGATCTGAACAGATGGGAACTGCCTTGTTTCCATTCTTTATGCTTGTAGTAATGGGGTATTCCTTGAAGGAGGTTCATGTAGCAGAGTGGTGCATGCCATGGGTATCAATGCACTTGCAGCTCAACCTGGTTTTGTTGTAGGTGCTCTAATTTCATTTAGCTGACAGATTGTGTTTCAAATGTAGATGCAGGATCATCTATCCCAAATTTCTCCACATGGGAAGCATTTCTTGAGTTTTGGGTCCCACTTGGAGTTTCTATAATGACACTGTTGCCAGTCTTACTAACCACTTGGGATTACATTGGATTGAATGGTGTGGAGAATTTGTCTTTTTGTCTTTCACTAGCACTCGATTGCCAACTTGAGTATTAGATGGTTTAGTGTTTTTAGCCTCGTCTGTAAATGCTTTGCTCTTTTCTTTTACCCTAACAAGTCTGTATGTGGCAATCAGCTTGTAGCTCTAGCAATTTTGCTCTCACCTTCCTTTTAACCCTTTAACTCTAAAAAGGGACCAACATGTAACTTCTCCCTAAGATATTTATATGTTTTCTGGAAAATGATTAATGAGAATACTCAAACTTATCAGGAAGAAGTTTTAATCTTGATCTTACACCAAATTCTTGTAACTAATTTACAAGGAATTGTGTAGCAGCAAGAGGAGAGAATTGAAAATCAGATCTTGGGAGTTTAAGGGTTAAACAATACTTCTCAGGACTTTCAGCTGATCAATACCTCACTACATACTCACCTATCTTCTTTATCCTTCATCCAGTCAACTGCTACAGCGTGGGCAATGCAGGTCCTCTTCATTAGGATGGCATTTTGTCTTTCAAGTTCCCTATTGGCCTAGGGTGGTTTTGGTGTGGTCTTAAGATGCACAATGCCATTCTGCTTACAGTATTCTTAGAATTGTCTTGATCAGAATTACAGTCCACTATCTGACTTGGTAGTTATGGGAAGACCATGGCTGCTTTGGATCTCCTCTAGGTTGTCAATTACTTCCACTTACTCGTGATAATAATGGCTTTAGTAGTTGATGACAAGTAGTATGGATGGTCCAGATGGGAGTGGCTGTAGAAGGTCTATGGCTTGGTCTCACTAAGGACCCTTAGGCAATGTCATTGATGTCAGCAGCTCAAGGGGATATGGATGTGCAACCAGTTGACATTCATAACAAGATTTGCAGATTTTCTCTGCTGCCTTATCCATACAAGGCCACCATACTTTGCTTCTCAAATTTTGTTTTGTTCCAACAATTGCTACATGTGAGTGTCCTTTATGAGCCAAGGCATTTGTTTTGGGCCTTAGCTTGCTGGTTAGCACAATATGGGTACCTCATAGGAGTGTTCACTGATCATGCACAGTTCACAAGCAGCTGGTGCACAAGCCTGGCATTTATCAAACAAACAGTTTTATATGCCTCTCTCAGAGCTTTTAACTCTTCATCCATTGCAGATACTTCTTCAATTTCTCTTGTGGTGTGGTGCTGATGGCTGCAAATCGAATATACTCTTTAGCTATGTGTTGATGATTTGTCGCTTTGTTTCAACCCAGCAAATGTGAAAGAGGGTTGGCTGGGGTTCTAGGAAGATTACCCAGCAATCAATGCAGGAACAGGATTTGGAGCAGGGCCCATAGATCACGTCCAGTTTGTGATCAGTAACCAGATTAAATTTCATTTCATAAAAATATACATGTATACCTCTTGAAGGCCTAAAAGGGCAAGGGCTTCTATCTCAGTCTGAAAGTATTAACATTCACACTCTGAGACTGTGGCTTGCTCAGCAAATGGGCACCCACACACCATTCGCATTCTGAATTAACATCTGGCTATGAGGTCAGAAAGACTCACATCTATGATGTATTCTTGTCGAGGTATGGAATGTTCTTGCTACAGCCATGTTCTGCTTTAGCTGCCCCTGTTGAGTTAACCTATTCACCCCCTCCCCCCAAAACAATGATGTATCATGATGCCACAAACCTCTAACTACATACAGGTAACATTGAATGGGGGAGGGGGGGTGGCAATAATTCAGAGTGTGGTAAACACAGGAGTGTCATTCTACAAGAGTGTCATTTGTTCTAAATAAAACTCTGCAAACATGATGTGTTGACTAACTTGATGCTGATTATAGCCTGCTGAAAACTTTGGAGCTATTCATGTTGTGTGACAGCCCATCTACTGTTGGTAACCTTGCACATCTATGCAGAGCCAAATGTCCCCATCCATCTTTGGAAAAATCACTACTGGTTTCACCCATGGTGTAGGATTGTCAACTTCTTTTATGATGTCATAGTCTAATAAATCTGGAACTTTCCTTCCCACTTTGTCTTGCAAATTGAATGGAGTTACCCTCAGTGGTGTGCTACTGGTCTCACTGTTGGGTCTTTGTGTAATGTCACTTGTTCAGACTTCAGCTTTCAAATCTCAATGAACACCTCTAGGAATTATTGTTGCAAATTATTGTTCTCTGTTGAGTTCTCTGTTTGCCAACCAAAACTTCACATATTAATTAAACAGCCCTTTACTTCAAGGGGCTTACTGGATGTATACATGTATAGTTTCCTGTCAACAGGGACAGCTTCAGATTTACTCTTGATCTTCTTAGCTTTCAAATTTTCCCAGGTTTCTTCATCATCAGTGTTATTGGTGGCCCCAGAATCTACCAACATCTCTAATTCTACCCCACCCACAGAAACCCTTAAGCAGATTTGAGTGTACCTCATTACTGATTCTGAGAGCAGTAAATCAACTTGATCCCTATTTGCATATGATTCTTCTTGTGGTTGATTAACCCCAAGTTTTTGTGATTTGGTTTTGCAGCCACTAGCAAAATGATCTTGTCATTTACACTTCCTACAAGTCTGACCTCTAGCAGGGCAGTTTGGATCTCCACCCAGGTGCCCACTGGACCCACAACTATAGCAATGTTTTTCTTGTTTGTTTCCTTTACTCTTTAATGTTTACCATTAGGTCTGCCAGGTTTTTTATAAACCCTGTTTGCATCTTCTGGACCCTGCTTACTCATACTGAGATAAGATATCTGGTGCTCTGCCCTTTCACACTGTTCTGGGAGTTCTAACATCCAAGCAAGGGTTAGCTCTTACCTTTCTTCAAATAATTTGTGGTTTACATAGTCTGACTTATATTTGCGCAGGACAAGTTCTCTTATCTGATTGTTGAAGTCTGCACCAAAATTGCAGTATTTTCCTTTTTTTTAATTCAATACAAATTGCAAAAATGTCTCACTTGGTTTTGTTGGAGTTGGTCAAATTTCTGATGGGCAAAAGGTGAGTTGACTTTGGGAAGAGAATATCCATTTAATGCTGTAATAGCTGCAGACGTGATTGTTTGCTTTTCCAGTGTTCACAAGTTTAGAGAAGATGTCTTGGACATGTGGGCCTGTTAAATGAAGTAGCATTGCTGTTCTTCATTGTCTTGTGGTTGCGTTTTTACCTTCATTAACAATTAGACCTTTACCATCTGCAAATAAATCCATCATGGTCCCAACAAAGCAGGCTCCGAGTGACAATCAAACTTGGGAATTGGCTTTGAAGCTCCATTTGTGTTCAAAGACATCTTGTGCTGTGCTTATGCTTTGTGAATTCCATGCTTATCCTGGTTGCCAATGTTGTGCTCCTTTGCTTTGTAAATAATTGATGAACAACTATGAATTACACACAAATAAACTGAGCATGTGCTTTTCTATTTTCTCTTCATGTTCTCTTGGCCATTGTTACTTCACACATGACAAAAAATATGTCACCTATATTATAACTTTTATTTGTTAATTTGAAATATATTTTATTATTGCAATGAAGAGAGCTATTCTTAATCTGTGCTGTTTTGCTCTTGAAGGATTTGGCCACTCCAAGTGAAGCCTCTTCATCACAGGAAGGCCAGCAAAACAGGAGACTGAAAGTCACTTTGCTGAGTAGTGAGTGGAGATCATCAACTGATAGAGAAGTCTCAACTATCAGTAGAAAGCTTGCTATACAGTTAGCTAAGCATCCTAATGTGGAAGTTAGTGTGTTTCTTCCTAAGTGCAGTGAAGAGGACAAGAGCAATGCCGCAAGTCACAAAATTCAGCTCATTGAAGCAGATGAATTGCCAGGCCATGAACCAATTTTTTGGTTGTCATCTTTACCCAGAAACCATGATGTAGACTGTGTCATAGGACATGGAGTACACCTTGGCAAACAAATTCCATCCATAAAGAGGACTACAGACTGTAGATGGATTCAAGTTGTTCACAGTGTTCATGAAGAAGTGGGAATGTACAAGAACATTTCAGAAGGAGAAAAACTTCAGCAAACAGAACTAAAACTCTGTAAGATGGCCGATGAGGTTGTAGCAATAGGACCTAAAGTGGCAGAGGCCTACAAACGGTTCCTTTGTTCTGCTAGAGAAGAGGAAACCATTTTAGATCTCACCCCAGGTGTTTTCTCTGAATTTTTGAATGTAGCACAAGCCACTGATGAAAGGAAAACATTCTGTGTTTTAGTGATTGGAAGTGGTGACAGCTGTGAAGATTTCAATGTTAAGGGGTTCAACATGGCTGCCAAAGCAATTGCTGAATTAAAAGATGCATCCTACCAACTGAAGTTTCTTTATTCACTAAGAGAAAAAGGCGAGGAAATAGCAGAGAAGCTGCTTCAGCATGGCATCAGTCGTAATCAGCTAATTGTTCGAAGCTTTAATGACAACAAAGAAGTACTAGCTGACATGTTCTGTGAGGTGGATCTTGCCATAATGCCATCTAGAACTGAAGGTTTTGGATTGCCTGGTCTTGAAGCGTTATCTGCTGGTCTGCCTGTACTTGTCAGTGGTAATTCAGGACTTGGAGAAGCTCTGAAGGAAGTACCTTTGGGTTCGCAGTGTGTGGTAGACTCAGAAGATTCTAAAGACTGGGCCAGAGAGATCAGAGATGTTCGTCAAAAACGTAGGAATGTTCGCCTTTCAGAAGCAAAGCTTCTTCGTGAACATTATGCAAAAGCTTATGACTGGGAGAAGCCTTGTACTGTCCTTGTAAAAAAGATGCAGACACTTGCATTTGGTAAAAGTTGTCTTTCATTATGACTATTTTTGGTTGTGACAATAAAACAATGAGTTGTTATGTATTAGTACTGCTACTTCAATATACTTTTGCAAAAGCATGTTTTTGTCATTCACTAGACAGTTGATGTTTTCAAATAATTATAGCACAGAGTCTTTATTGGTCACCTACATGTAGGTATGTTCAACGTTGTTAGTTAGTAATCTATCTGGGAGACCGGACTTCAGATGGAAACTTCTGTTTTTTTTATTTGGGAACAAACATACAACTCTCAAGGTGCCTGTCTCCACCAAGCTTTGACATTTTTATAAAACTAATGAACTGTTTGGTTCACTAGTAAAGGTTAAATGGGGAGTGGTAACTTGAAATGAAATTAAAATTGGATTTTAAATTCAATTTGAATATTTTATATATTCCTACTTCCATTTAAATTTCTATATATTCTGTTGAAGTGGTTAATGTTTATGTTATGATTAAAATAGAGTCAAAATCAATTTATGAAAAGTTTATATCAATTGAGGTTCAAAATCAGGTTATTCAGGGATGCTAACATCTGTTTTATCAGACTTTTAAGAGACTAAGAAAAGAATTGACAGATAACATATACCACAAAGGTAATCAGTGGGACAAGCTCCATACCCTGATTAATTTTTTTACCAATTGAAAATCTTATCAAATTCTTTCAAACATTATTTGTGAGACATCCTCCATGACATACCAGATGTATATCCTCTGAAATTTCCATGATATTCTGTTGAAGTGGCTACTGTTTATACACTGTAGCTAGCTATAATTTGAATGATTATCTTTGCACACCAATTTAGGAAATGAAAAATAGCTTATTGAAATAGAGTGAAAATCAATTATGAATTCGGTTTATCACATGTAGGTTCATCAGGAAGCAGGTTAGTCAAGCCAGTCAGGGATAAGAGGCGAACATCTTTTGCTGATACATGTCAGGCTTGTAAGAGACCAAGAAAAGAATTGACAGATGGCACGTACCACAAAGGTAATCAGTAATTTCCACAGCTTTGAGCTGTAGAAATTGGGATAAGTTCCATACCCTGATTAATTTTTTAACCAATTGGAAATCTCATCAAATTCTTTCAAAATTATTTATGAAGCATCCACCAAGACATACTAGATGTATATCTTCTGGAAATTCCATGATATTCTTTTGAAGTGGTTTATATTTAAATACTGTAGCTAGCTATAATGTGAAAGATTATCTTTGCACACCAAAATTTATGAAATGATAAATAGCTGAAATAGGATGAAAATCAATTATGAATTCCGTTTATCGCATGTAGATTCATCAGAGAGCAAGTTAGCCAAGCCAGTCAGGGATAAGAGGCTAACATCTGTTGCTGATACAAGTCAGGCTTGTGAGAGACCCAGAGAAGAATTGAGAGATGGCACATACCACAAAGGTAATTTCTCAAAACTGGGGTCACTTACAACATTGCATCAGATTGACTATTTATGATAGGAAACACATAGTAACATTTTTGTTAGGAAGGCTTTCATGTATGTTGGTCTATGTCAATGGAATGTAGTCACTTCCTTAATCTACCTCTACTAAGCCAAGATATCAGAAATATTACATTCAGCATGAGTTGAAACAGTTATTTGATATTTGAGTTTGTTTAAACAGCAAGCAATAAGAAGTATGGTGAAAGTTATGTTTTACAATATTTTACAGTATTTAATAATTAGCTATTATTAATTTATTTGGCACCTGCCATAGGTGTGGTAGCAAGCAGATTAACAGCTTTACCAGTCAAGGATGAACGACTATCATCCATTGTTTTTGTTCTGTGTAGCTCAGCAGAAGCCAAAACTTATTTAATTCTGGAACTCGACCCACTTGGTTTACCCTTTCTGAGAGGATCCAAAGAATCTAAGTTTGCTGCTTTTGACCAGTTTATTTTGTTTGCTTGGTTGGAATGTTGCTACATGTAGTAGTAAAAAAACCATATTCACTTACTTGGTTTAAACCCTTTTCTGAGTTATTTTGTTTGCTTGGTTGGAATGTTGCTTCATGTAGTAGTAAAAACCCCTCACACCCTAACATCAGTATGCATTTTCTCCTTACTGTTTCCTCGAAATTTCCTTTGCTACTGACCAGGAGAATTAGCTAAAAAATCAAGAGCTTTCTGTGGTGGTGATTATTTCCGTAATTTTTGTGACCGTAATGGTTGATTAAGGGAGATATTGGGTTAATATTGTTTGTGAGGATTGTCTAGCAATGAGCATGCAGCAGCAAGTCATGAGAACTTAGCTTTTAAATGTTCCTTGTTCCTTGCAGGTAGGGACATCCCACCTTTTCAAGAAAGTGGTCAGACTCAAGGTGATTCCACAGCTAATGGTAATTCCTACATGTAGTAATCACCATGTTACTTTAGTTTAAATTGATATTGTGGTTTGGGGAATGCATGCACTGCTTGTAGACTAACTTACTTATACACCAGTCAGTGCGGTCTTCTTAGTGGTAATTCCGTCAACAGTCTATTAGATTAGTGGAATGTCATGTCATTTGCATATACAGCGCAGCATTAAAGTTCTTCCCCATTGCTTGTCATCTTGAAAGTTATTAAGTGGAGAGGTTTCCTGTTTATGTTTCAGCCATTTCCAGTGGATCATGGCCGCTGTGTTTGTTAACTTCAATTTAGTTATGCTTTTCAGTCTCAGTTGTTCGAGGTTAAATCTGTAAAAGGTCTGATTTTAATATTTGAATCATTTTCATAATCTGTGTAATCACATGCCATCTGCATATAGCCTGAAAATTCTTTTCCATTCTGAGTGTAATTCTTAAGAAATTGCATGAAACATGTACAGAAGTTAACTTTTTTGTTTTCATAATTTTCCCCTAGATCATGACCTTTCTGTGATTACAAAACATCTCAGAGCTGAGTACAACAGAAGATCTCTTCTAAAACCGCTTCTTTGGGAGAACACCTTTAAGCTACCTCTTGATGATGTTTACACAAAATTGTCAGTCGTGTCGAGACGAATAACAGACTTTAGATTGGAAGATAGAACAGTGAACATGTTTGACATCTTTAAAACTGTCAACAAAGATGACGATTCTATGGTGCTCGTAGAGGGAAGCCCTGGAATTGGAAAGACAACTTTTTGTCTTAAAATTTCTCATGACTGGGCTAACCAGAAAATCCCAAGTGAATCTGCTTTTCCAGTTTTCAAACTTTTGTTGCTGCTGAAATGTCGCGACATTAGTGGAGATATAATAGATGCCATTGTTGATCAGCTACTCCCTATGGAGGGAAAGGTCAAGGAAAAGCTGTTAGATTACATCAAAAATGTTCACAACCAGGAGAACATTTTGGTGATTTTAGATGGCCTTGATGAGCTACCGGAAGCAGGTGAAAGTCACGTGAAGTTACTTAGCAGAAGAATGTTACCACTTTGCTATGTTTTGGCGACATCTCGTCAAGAAAAAGGAATTGAAGTGCGACAGAAGGTTGACTTTGACGTTCTTCTGCAAATTGAAGGGTTCACGCAAGCAGACTCCTTTGAGTACATCAGAAAACACTTTAGTCACTTAGGTCTTGATCATGTAGCAAAAGGAGAAAGGCTTATTCAGTCCATCCTGGAAAATACCTTCCTACATGCACTCCCGAGCAATCCATTGAATCTGCTTCTTCTCTGTGTTGTTTTTGAGGATTACGAAGGGAATCTACCATCTTCTCGAACCGAACTTTATCACATTATTGTTTGTTGCCTTTTGCGAAGGTATTGTGCCAAAAACAATGTAAAAGCCGCTGTTGATGACAAAGCTCTAGAGGAACAATTTAAAGATAGTTTACTTGCATTGGGGCAGTTAGCGTGGAGGTGTCTACAAAACGACCGGTTTTCGTTTCGAGAAGAAGAGTTGGCAGAATTTGAAAGAAGAAAGAAACATTTGGCAGCTCGTAAACTTGGTTTGGTATTTAAAGAGGCCAGTGCGAAGAAGATTAACCCTCAGCACGAATATCACTTTTTCCACAAGACTTTTCAAGAGTACTTGGCGGCATTATATCTGGCACACAAGCTACAGGAAGAGAGGGTTAATGTCTTTCATGATTTGAAGTTGAGCTTTGCTGACATCACAAGAAAATACAACCAAGTGTTTATCTTTGTGTCTGGCATACTGGGTGAGGCTACTTGTAATCTGTTTAGACAGATTGGCGAGAATCTTAAGGTTGAATGCTGGAACTGGCTAAATTGTAGTGAGCAAGAGGCGACTTTCTTCACTGAGTGTTTCAGTGAAAGCGGAGAAGCAGAACAAATGGCTATGACTCTTTGTTCCTTTATCCCGTTTCCACAGTCAGTAACCTGTAGGACCGAAAATGAATCATGTGGAGGTGTTCTAAGAGTTGCAAATGCTTGCAAGAACTTCTTACTATTACAATTGCCTATTCATCTTACTTTAGATGTTGATATTTTACTAATGCGTTTTTCCTCTGTTAGCGAGTTTCTAACCTCTTACTCCAGGCTAGAAACTATTGCCTTTTTTTCTGACGTTTTTACAGACGAAATACCTGACCTTGTGTATAACGCACTTCAAGTGAACTCATCTTTACATTCCTTTACTCTTCAAACAAGTCGTCCCTTTTCCCCTAAGGAGGCTGCTGCTATTGGTGACCATTTAGCCGCAAACAAAACACTACAAACCGTGACTTTAAAACTGCCGGGTGAGTTAGGTGAGCATTGGGCCACTGTTCTTGAAAAAAGATTGTCTGGAGATACACCGCTGACATCTGTTGTGCTGGAGATCAGTGGCTCAGTAAGGAAAAGCAGTATGGTGGCTTTGAACAATTTGTTAAGGAACAGATCACTTCAATCTTTTGGCCTCACTATTTATGGAGACATGCACGATTTATTGGCGACTTTTGTCGCTGAAGTACTTGCTGCTGATCCGTACTTAAAATCCCTCACATTGACTGTATGTGGAAGCATCAGCTGCTCTGCTTTCATTTCGTTGAAAAAGGGTGTTGTAGAAAATAGTACTTTAAGGTCACTGGTCTTAAAAGTGTTCGGAGAACTCCCCGAGAATTGGATAAACATTTGTGAAGCTCTCTATGTTGCTAAAAAGTCATCTCTGTCTCTTACAATTGAGCCGGATGTAGTCAGCAAAATAACAACTTCGCAGGTGGCCTGTCTTCGTCCTCTTCTACTTGAAGAAAAACTTGGCGTGTTGAAACTTCACTCACTTACTGTAAAGATGTGGGGAGAGTTGAGTTGCACTGGAGCAAGTGATTTATGCAAACTCCTGATAGCCTCAAGAGTTTCCTGCGTTAATTTGAGTATCCATGGAAGAGTAACAGATGGTGTTGCTACCTGTTTGGTTAAGAACTTTGACAAAGTTAAGTCACTGTCCAACTTGAGTATCAACATTAGGGGAGAGGTGACAAGAGACGGAGAGAGCACTCTTGAAGCCCTAACATGCAATCAAAAATTTTCATGTACTTTAAATGTCCATGACGTAAGGACAGTGGACGAAATATGCGAAGAAGTTGAGTTATCTGTAGTCGATTCTTCGTCATTAACATCAGCATTTACAGACGTCGAGACTATCTGCTCACGTGTTAGTAAAGTGAGTATGAACTTTGATAGCCCCATTTACTCAAGTGAGGAGGACTGGGGACGAAGTGTTGGTGACTTTTTGGCGAAATTCGTGTCACTTACTACATTACACCTCTCATTCAATAACTGCAGTGGCATGAGTGTACTCTTGATGGGCGAACTGGGAAGTAGTTTGGCACACAACACGTCGATAACCACGCTGAGTATTACAGTCAACAGCCACAGTTACACGATTGGAGACTGGATGGGCAAACTGGAAAGTAGTTTGGCACAAAACACGTCGATAACCACGCTGAGTATTACAGTCAACAGCTATAGTTGCTTGAGTGGAGACTGGATGGGCGAACTGGGAAGTAGTTTGACACAAAGCACGTCGATAACCACGCTGATTAGTACAGTCAACAACTACAGTGTCATGAGTGGAGACTGGATGGGCGAACTGGGAAGTAGTTTGGCACAAAACACGTCGATAACCACGCTGAGTATTACAGTCAACAACCACAGTGACATGAGTGTACTCTGGATATACGAACTGGGAAGTGTTTTGGCACAAAACACGTCGATAACCACGCTGAGTATTACAGTCAACAGCTACAACTACACGATTGTAGACTGGATGGGCAAACTGGAAAGTAGTTTGGCACAAAACACGTCGATAACCACGCTGAGTATTACAGTCAACAGCTATAGTTGCTTGAGTGGAGACTGGATGGGCGAACTGGGAAGTAGTTTGACACACAGCACGTCGATAACCACGCTGAGTATTACATTCAACAACTACAGTAACACGAGTGGAGACTGGATGGACGAACTGGGAAGTGGTTTGGCACAAAACACGTCGATAACCACGCTGAGTATTACAGTCAACAACCACAGTGACATGCATGGAGACTGGATGCGTAATCTGAGGAGTGTTGTGGCACAGATCACGTCACTTGCCATATTAAACCTTACACTAAACAACCACACTAATTCATACGAAGACTGGATAAACGAATTCTGTCAAGCTTCGTCAAGGATCACATCGTCGATCAAAACTTTTCTTGAAGTTAACTTGTTTAGTGAGAGCAATGAAAAACCCTAAATGTGCGTGGCTTAGCGAAAAGCACATCTTTTGAACATTCTCAACACCGACTGAGTATCCTAACATGAGGTTGTGGTCGCACTTGTACATTCAGCGATTATAATTACAGAAGACTGGAAACCTGACCTGGAACAACGCGTCAGTGTCTACATTCAACAGCTACGTTGACGGGGGTGGAGACTGTGTCTGATTCTAAATTTCTCGTGGAGGAAAAAGCGCTGCAAGCCTTGTGACGGGAGGCGAGCCACTGGTTGGATGTAGTTTAAGAACTTGGCTAAGAAGTCAACGGGAGGGACTTGTTTCAATTGAACTGGACCAAACTGCAGTGCAGCAGAGGAGGACTTGTGTGTTACATCCTGGCAAGTAAGGACTTGGAATCTTCTGCGGTTAGTGACCGCAGTGACGCTTGACAGAGGGTAAGTCATTAAGATTCTTAAGAGTAAATACCCTTTACACCATAACATCAGTATGCATATTCTCCCTAATGTTCTCTCTACATTTCCTGAAGCACTGACCGGGAGAATTTGTTAAACATCAAGAGCTTTATAAGTTGGTGATCATTTCCTTGATTCTCGTGACTTTCATGTTTGATTCAGGGATGATATTGTAAGGAGAAATAAGAAGCTGGTCACTCTAAGGGGTTAAAGGCTTACGCATGATGGGAGAGGCTATGCTGTGCCAAAACTAGAATTTTGAAAGCCTGGACCAATTTTTAATTTAAGTTTGGCTTAAAGTGGGAGTTATTTTCTCCAATCATCAAACTGAACTAGCTTTCATTTACGACAAGTACCACTATTTGCTCATGGAGCCAGGTTTTAAGTTGAGGTTTTTCGAAATCAGAAGGGTTAGTAGCGCTACGGTAATTTAGACTACTGTTTACAGTGCGGAATGAAATGATTTGCGAACGGTAACTTTTAGCTTGGTTGGTATTATCTCTCCTATTCGCAGCTTACACGGGGTGCTTTGATGATGCTAATCCTAGCAATATGCAAGGTTCTTGTCACATTTGAGCCCCCCATACACCTTGGGTTACCAATTAGTTATCTGCAGCCTAGTGGTAGAGCATCCGAGCGCAAAACTCCGCAGGTGTGGGGTTCGACTCTTCCAATTCGTCTCAGGCTCATTTCAAAACGAAAACAAAATTCTTTATTTTTTACTGATTTTCTTTCTGTTTTATATTTTTTACAGCCTTCACATCCCAACTGCCCAGCTGTCAGCGTGATGAAGGATTAAATGGTGTTGAAGTATTGGAGAGCGTCGCAAACAGGAACAAGCCCAGTGAAGGATTCTTTTGTATCAACTGATTGGAAGGAACAGTGTTTTAGACACATAAGTAAATCTTCCTCGTAATAGCATGGTGATTGTCGCATTTAAAGTTGAATCATGGATGAAGAAAATACTCGACTACTTTGTAAAATTTTCTATTATTTAACCAGGTATTAAGTAGAGTGGAAATTTTCTGTGGAAATATCATGTCAGTCTTTCATAAGGTGACGCGCAGTCAGTCTACCTGATTGCGATTGACATTGGAAGTGATCTCATCGTGAGTCAAGCGATAGCACTTCACTACCACGATTAGTACAACAGCTTTTTTGACGACATATAATCAATTTTAGCACAACAGCCTTTTTGACGATATGTAATAAATTTGCAAGGAGGATTTTAAAACTTCTCTTCAATTGATATAGTGAAAGGTGATTAAGTCGTGGAGCTAAACGGTGGAAGTTTAACATTATGTCAGAGCAAAGCGCTGGTGTCTTTCTTGCTTCCCACTTTTGTCCTAAAACAGAAAGATGTTCTGAGAATTATTCAGCTTGCAACCAGGTCCGTGCAATGCTTAAATTAAGTGAGTTATGCCTCAAAATGTTGGCAGCGTCGTACAATAAAAATCGAAATGAACGGATTTAGAGTCAGAAGATACAGAACGTTTCCATTTTGTTTCCTTAGTCACTTTGACTCAAACACTTCTGATCCAATGAAAACTGAATTGTCGGAGTCGCAAGCAGAAGCGGACGAACCAACCAATCACAGTGGCAGTTCTCAGGCCATCCGATGACTTATGACTTCGATGATCTAGTTTTCATGGGATCATAAGTAACCGCATCCTTAGCGCCGTAAGCTACTTCACTTTCCTGCTGTATGATTTTCAGTAGATGGTATTTAACCCTTTAAAACCCCTAAGAGTGACTAGCATCTAATTTCTCCTTACAATATCACCCCTGAATTACAAATAAATGCCACGAGAATAAGAAAAATGATCATCAGCCAGAGAAGCTCTTGATTGTTAAACAAATTCTCCTTGTCGACACCTTAGGAAATGTATAGAGAACAGTATGGAGAATATGCAAACTGATGTTAGGGTGTAAAGGGTTAAGGCTCTGCTATTCTCATTACGTATCCGACTGCATCGCCGGCATTAAGAAAAACCTCTCGTTTGTTTTTCTTAAGCACTTTTCGAGTAGTGCGCGTTGTATAACCAAAACCCAAGTTATTAAAATGTCCAGTCAAAGCAAAGTACAATATCACACAAGGAGTCATTAAGTTGCTGAAGTAAAATCAAAACAGTCATCCCAAAGCACTAGACACGAGTGACTAAGTCGAAATTGGTTCCAGTCTAGCATCTGATTGATTGAGAGAGTGGTGCGTAGTTTCTGGAGAAATAGTGCGTTAACCCTTTAAACCCTGAGAGTGATCAACATCTAATTTCTCCTAACAATGATATTGCTGAATCATTCGTTAAGATCCCGAGAAAAAAAAGAAAATGATCGCCAACTTAAGAGGTTTTGATTGTTAAACAAATTCTCCTTGTCAGTACCAAAGGAAATGCACTGAGAAGAGTATGGAGAATCTGGATACTGATGTTGAGGATTAAAGAGTTCAGGTTAAACCGATGCAGTTCAGAGTAGTTTCGTATTCCGGTTGAAATTTACTTCACAGATTTCACCCTATTAGCCTATCTCTGCCAGTGACTTATTTATTAATTTTTTCTAAGTTGTGAAAACTTTAAGCTCGGCTGATAAAGTTTGTTTCATAATGGAGAAGTGCATTGACCCTTTAAGCCTCAAGATCTTTTAATTAATTCTCCTTACTGTCTGCTATACAATTCTTCTCATGTTACTTCTGAGAATTTGGTATTGGATCAACTAATAATCCTCTATTTGATACTTTTCTTGGTTCTCATCACTTGTGTTCTTGATTTTGCATTGACATTGTAAGGAGAAATTCTGTCTTGGTCACTCATAGGAATTAAAGGGTTAAACGATGATTGAAAGGTAACTATTCATTAACCATTCTTTTCCCTCTCTTTCATACACCTTCCATTGAAAATTGTATGTTTTTCGCTGATTCACCTTCTTGGGGACTTCATCTGCCCTTACCACCATGAAAAAGAAGACTTTGGGTTCATTCCCTATTTTCGAATTGCTCCCACAACAGACTTTGTTTCAACTCGCCAAATTCTGATTCTTTGATATGCCAAGGGCTTTCGGGCAAAAAAAAATTTCGATTCACCCCCCTCCCCCTCACGCACAGACACACACCGCTTGCACAATCAGTTAAATCAAAAGTTGTGCTTTTACATGTTAAAATTTTGGAGAAGAGAACTGGATTATGCAATCCTACCTGCTTTTTAAGTCTATTCACTAAATTGGTGGGACCCTTGCGGGTGAAAGGCAAAAATTAATCGAGAACTTGTTTGGTACTTAGCGGTAGATAGAGTATTTATCTTAAAGTTTTTTGCGTAAACTTTAATCGTTTCGCTTTATTTCTATTTAAAAACAGACGGAAGATTTTGTAGGGGCTGTAGGAGTTTCACGATCTTTCCGCCCCAGTGTCCAATCTCTAGGTCTATCCTTTATGTTTCACTCCGTTTTTGGAAACCGAAAGTCCCCTGGGAACTCTGGGAATGCCCATGTCTTGGGAACTCTGGGTACTTCTGGGTAGAAAGTTGATGGGAGAGTGTTGAACTAATCTGCACTTAACTGGAGATGATTTTACTTTTACATATATCTTAAATTATGGGTTGATTTAGAATCTTAACGTGAAGCGTCTGTCATTGTCTGGCAAGGCCTTCAGCATGGCAACGAGTGACGATTCTTGAGCTAATGCAACTTTTGTGTTTTTCGGGCGGCGTGCGTTGTCCGAGATCTGTCTGCTGATCGAAGGTAATTTTAAAAGCTTAAGTTTGTTCGTTTCTTGAAAAGGTTCAATAGGAGGGGAGATATCTTACTCAGTAATCGTACATCTATTGCAATCATTTCGAATGTCCCTCGCGGGAGAACGTGTTTCAAATTACTGCTGGGTGTATCGCGTGATGTTTGCTACTACTGCTCTGAGTACTAGCGTGACTCCGCCATCGTGGGCTCTGGTCGTTTCAGCAAGCTGTTATGTCGGAAATGTCAAAGCGAAAAGCGTGAAGGCTTTTTCTTCATCTAAGCCTCGTTTAGTATTTGAAAGAACAAGAAGTTTTAAGTAGCATAAGGGTTGCTAGGGATGTGGAATATAGAGCTTTGACTGTTCGATTTGTTCTATTGGCAATTTGCTAGTACACCAGTGGTTTATCTTGTCTACTTATTCGCATTCCATGAATTGTTTTAAATCTCAAGTAAATGAGAAAGAAAACAACAGACCAATCCAGAATATTCAGAATGATTCTGGTTTTCCTTTACTTTTCAATAGTCCTTTGTAATCTTATCGAAATGTGGCCTGTGATTACTTTTAAGGTTTAGAGAGTCAGACACTTAGACATGTCTGGATTAACGATCCTAAACAACCCTTGTGACGAAATCTGGTAAGTTTTCATGTTTTATTGATGCTTCTTTAGTTCCGTGATATGAAAATATGTTGAAGTTTCAGTAAGTTCTTATGGAGTAACCACTTGATTGTAATAATCAGAAAAGGATTTTTTAAGTGGAAGTCAAACAGACTTCCAAGTGCAACCTATTGGTAACCCAGATTGTGAATTGGTTGCCAGAGATAAAACTTTACTTGTTAAGAATCAGATCCTTTGTACTGAAGTGCATGACATGTTTTCTACTGTTTTAGTTAGAAATTGTGGTTTTGGCTGGCAATATTGTGATTTGAGAATTCAGTGACATTTTTTGGGCTTATTAGTCAAACAACCAAAAAGAAAGAGGAAAATTTATTGTCTAGAAAACAATGGAACATTGACTCTAGAATTTTATGAAAATGCTATACGTCACCGTCAAACAGCTAGATATCTTGAACAGCATAAGTTGCACCTCAAATCAACTGGAACTTGAACCATAAACACCAAGCATTAAAAAAAGACAGTCAAGACTGCATGTGGCTATCAATACAGCTTAATTTTCATAGCATTGAACAGAACTAGAGGCTATATAATGATGCTAGAAGGTAGTGTTGCAGAAGATTTCTTTCACATGTAAAACAGAAAACCTCTTGCATCCAACATATTCATGAGTACCATGTTCCATAAGAAAAAGATGATTCAAAAGGAAAAATTGAGATGAGCGTAGTTTAATTATTATTGGAACCTAGCAGATAGAAGAACCATAAGGCTTTCAAGCCAGCCCCTCTTAATTATTACTATTACTATTTCTATCATTTTCATTATTATTAATATGATTATATTGTGTTTCTTTACTTCAGCTTGGTTTATAAGTAAATACATCTCGATCAAGTAGAGTTTCCATGTGCTGGAAAAAAATTTTTTCAAAGACTTTCAGCTATAAGCCGGGACCTCCTCTAGAGCCCAAATTTTAATTCACTTCAGTTTTAATTTGTGTAAAAATTGCTTGGCATATAGTTGAATAAATACGGTCTTTGCTATCGTTAAGTTACTGGTTGAACATCAACTAGTCACTGTATTCTTGAATCATCTTTCTTTTATGAACCAGGTTACCCATGAATATATGGGATGTAGCAGGCTTTCTGTTTTACATGTGAATGCAAATCTCCTGCAACACTTCCTTATAGCCTCTCTATGCAATCTCTATTTCTGTCCAATCTTATATCAGTAGTTACCTGCAGTCTCAGACTGCCTGTTTTGTGAATATGTAACCTAAAGGCCTTTATTTGTGTTGAGTGAAGTGAAGTTAATTTAGACATTGTAATTTTTTATTTTCAGCAGCTGCATTCAATATTAAAGGTTTCCTGTGATGTCTGGGCCATCAAAGGTAAAACTAATAACTCATAAATTTAATTATGAAGCTACGAGAATTTTCAGTTCAAATAGAACCCTTTTCCTGTAAAGTTAAGCATGACATTTATACCTTTGTTTGTCATTGTGTATCTTGAAACTCAGTCCTTTCAGGTTCTTGACCAAGGACAAACTATTCATTGTTGTCAGAATCTTTCAGTATTTAATTGTACAGTTATGCAATGAAAAACTCACTTAAAGTATCTTTAAGGAACGTTTTTCTGTCAACACTTGCTGAAGACATTTATGTCCCAAGCAGGTGCGAGTGGCTTAATTACTCCTTTATTCCTGTAACTTTCTACTTTGTCAGTATATCTGCCCATGGATGTCTTAAGCAAAAATAAATTACAAGTCTTTCATAGCTTGGTATTGCTTGCATGCCAGACACTGTTGTTCCATCAGTTGCAAGATCTAAACAGGTGGGAACTGCCTTGTTTCCATTCTATACACTTGTGTTAATGGGGTATTCCTTGAAAGAGGTTCACACAGCAGAGTGGTGAGTGCCATGGGTATTAATTCACTCGCAGCTCAATCTGGTTTTTTTGTAGTTGCTCTAATTTCATCTGGCTGACAGATTGGGTTTCAAGTTGTGCAGGATCATCTATCCCAAATTTCTACAAATGGGAAGCATTTCTCTAGTGTTGGGTCCCACTTGGAGTTTCTATAACAATACTGTTGCCAGTCTTGCTAACCACTTGGGTTTACATTGGATTGAATGATGTGGAGAACTAGTCTTTTTGTCTTTCACTAGCACTTGATCACCAATGTGAATATCTGATTGTTTTGTGTTTTTAGCCTTGTCTGTATATGCTTTAGTCTTTTCTTTTACCCTAACAAGTCTGTATGTGGCAATCAGCATGTAGCTCAGGCAATTTTGCTCCCATTTTCCTTTTAACCCTTTGAATATCTGGAATATCTGATTGTTTTGTGTTTTTAGCCTTGTCTGTATATGCTTTGGTTTTTTTCTTTCACCCTAACAAGTCTGTATGTGGCAATCAGCATGTAGCTCAGGCAATTTTGCTCTCATCTTCCTTTTAACCCTTTAACTCCAAGAAGTGACCAACATGTAACTTCTCCCTAAGATATCCATACGTTTTCTGGCAAACGGTTAATGAGAATACTCAAACTTATCTGGAAGAAGTTTCTATCTTGATTTTACACCAAATTCTTGTAACTAATTTACAAGGAATTGTGTAGCAGCAAGAGGAGAGAATTGACAATCAGATCTTGGGAGTTTAAATATTAAACAATACCTCTCAGGACTTTTAGCCAATCAATACCTCACTACACACTTGCATATCTTCTTTATCCTTTATCCAGTCAACTTCTACAGCTTGAGCAATGCAGGTCCTCTTCATTAGGATGGCATTTTATCTTTCAACTTCCCTATTGGCCTAGGGTGGTTTTGGTGTGGTCTTAGGATGCACAATGCCATTCTGCTTAGGGTATTCTTGGAATTGTCTCAATCAGAATTACGGTTTGCTGTCTGATTTGATAGTTATGGGAAGCCCATGGCTGCTGAGGATCTCTTCTAGGTGGTCAATCACTTCCACATACTTAAGATAATGGCCATAGTAGTTGACGACAAGTAGTATGGATGGTCCAGATGGGAGTGGCTGTAGAAGGTCCATGGCTTGGTCTCACTAAGGACCCTTTGGCAATGTCATTGATGTCAACAGCTCAAGGGGATATGGATGTGCAACCAGTTGACATTTGTAACAAGATTTGCAGAATTTTTTTGCTGCCTCATCCATAGAAGGCCACCATACTTTGCTTCTCAATTTTTTTTTGTTCTAACAATTGCAACATGTAAGTGTCCTTTATGAGCCAAGGTAATGGTTTGGAGCCTTAGCTTGCTGGTCAGCACAATAAAGGTACCTTCATAGGACTATTCACTGATCACACACACAGTTCACAAGCAGCTGGTGCATAAGCCTGGCATTTATCAAATCAAACAGTTATATTTGCTGCTCTCAGAGCTTTTAGCTCTTCATCCATTGCAGATACTTCTTCAATTTCTCTTGTGGTGTGGTGCTGATGGTTGCAAATCGAAGATACTCTTTAGCTATGTGTTGATGATTTGTCACTTTGTTCTGACTCAGCAAATGTGAAAGAGGGTCGGCTATGGATGTAGGTGGATTACCCAAGGATCATTGCAGGAACAGGATTTGGAACGGAGCCATAGATCACTTCTAGTTTGTGATCAGTAACCAGATCAAATTTCATCTCATAAATGTAAATGTAGGCATGGTACCTCTTGCATGCTCAAAAAAGGGCAAGGGCTTTTATTTCAGTCTGGAAGTATTTACATCCACACTGAGGCTGTGGCTTGCACAGCAAATAGGCAGTTGGCACTATTCTGGTTCCACATTAACAGGGCTCTGAGGCCAGAAGGACTTACATCTACAACAACCCTTGTTGGTGCATTCTTTTCAACATATGGCAATGTTCCTGCTACAGCCATGTTCTGCTTTAGCTGCCCTTGTTAAGTTAGCTTATTTGTCCCCCTCTCCCAAAACAATGTTATATCCCGATTCCCCAAACTTTTAGCTACATACAGGCAACACTGAATGGGGGAGGGGGTGTCATGTCAATGATTCAGTGTGTGGTAAACGCAGGAGTGTCGTTCTACATAAATAGAACTCTACAGACTGGATGTGCCTTAGAGCCATTCATATTATGTCACAGCCCTCTACTACTGGTATGGGGTAACAACCATGCACATATATGCAGAGCCAAATGTCACCATCTGTCTTTGGAATAATTACTGCTGGTTTCACCCATGGTGTTGGAGCATCAACTTCTTCTATGATGTCATAGTCTAATAGTTCTTGAACTTTCCTTCCCACTTTGTTTTCTAAATTGAAGGAAATTTGCCTCAGCTGTGTGCTACTGGTTTCACTGTTGGGTCATTGTGTGATATCACATGTTTAGACTTCAACTTTCAAATCCCACTGAACACATACAGGAATTATTGTTGCAGTTCTCTGTTGAGTTCTCTGTTTGCCAACTAAAATTTCACACACAAAACAGCCTTTTACTTCAAGAGGCTTGCTGGACGTATGAGCATGTTATAGTTTCCTGTCCACAGGGGCAGTTTCAGATTTACTCTTTATCTTCTTAGCTTTTAAATCTTCCCGGTTTTCTTCGTCATCAGTGTTATTGGTGGCCCCAGAATCCACCAACATCTCTAATTCTACCCCACTCACAGACAACTTAAGCAAATTTGAGTGGACTTCATTACTGATTCTGAAAGCAGTTAATCAACTTGATCCCTATTTGCATGTGATTCTTCTTGTACTTGTTTAAGCCCAAGTTTTTTTGGTTTGGTTTTGCTAACACCAGCAAAATGATCTTTTCCTATACACTTCCTTCAAGTCTGACCTCAGTAGCAAGGCATTTTGGATCTCCACCCAGGTGCCCACTGGACCCACAACTATTGCAATGTTTTTCTTGTTTGTTTCCTTTACTCTTTTGTTGACCATTAGGTCTGCCAGGTTTTTCATGAACCCTGTTTGCATCTTCTGTACCCTGTTACTCACACTGAGATGAGATATTTTGTGCTCTGCCCTTTCACACTGTTCTGGGAGTACTAACATCCAAGTGAGGGTTAGCTCTTGCCTTTCTTCAAATAATTTGTGGTTTACAATGTCTGACTTACATTTGTCTCTTATCTTTTTGTCAAAGTTTGCTCCAAAATTGCAATATTTCCCTCCTTTTCTTAATCCAGTTTCAAACTACAAAACAGTCCTGCCTTCCTTTTGTTGGGGTTGGTGACATTTCTGACGAGCAGAAGCTGAGTTGACTAGGGAAAAAAATATCCATTTAATGCTGTAACAGTGGCAGGCGTAATTGTTTGCTTTGCCAATGTTCACGAGTTTAGAGAAGATTTCTTGGACATGTGGGCATGTCAAATGAAGTAGCAAAGCTGTTCTTCATTGTCTTGTGGTTGCCTTTTTACCTTCATTTATAATTAGACCTTTATCATCCACAAATAATTCTATCGTGGTCCCAACATAGCAGGCTCCAAGTCACAATCAAATCTAGGAATTGCCTTTGAAGCTCTATTTTTGTTTTAAGACACCTTGTGCCATGCTCATGCTGAGCTAATTCCATGCCTATCCTCATCGCCAATGTTGTGCTTCCCTGCTATGTAAATGAACAACCATGAATTGCACACAAATAAGCTGACCATGTGGTTTTGTATTCTTTTTTCTCTCTTCATGCTCTCTTGGCCATTGTTTTGTAACACATGACAAAAAATATATTTTATTATAACTTTTATTTATTAATATGAAATATATTTTATTATTGCCATAGAGAGAGCTATTCTAAATCTGTGCCATTTTGCTCTTGAAGGATTTGGCCACTCCAAGTGTAGCCCCTTCATCACAGGAAGGCCAGAAAAACAGGAGACTGAAAGTCACTTTGCTGAGCAGTGAGTGGAGATCATCAACTGATAGAGAAGTTTCAACTATCAATAGAAAGCTTGCTATACAGTTAGCTAAGCATCCTAATGTGGAAGTGAGTGTGTTTCTTCCTGAGTGCAGCAAAGAGGATAAGAGAGATGCTGAGAGCCACCAAATTCAGCTTGTTGAAGCAGATAAACTGCCTGGTTATGAACCAATTTTTTGGTTGTCATCTTTACCCAGAAACCATGATGTAGACTATATCATAGGACATGGAGTGCATCTTGGCAAACAAATTCCACTTATAAAGAAGAATCAAGACTGCAGATGGATTCAAGTTGTTCACAGTGTTCATGAAGAAGTGGGAATGTACCAGAACATTTCTGAAGGAGAACAACTTCAGCAAACAGAATTAGAACTTTGTCAGATGGCCGATGAGGTTGTAACAATAGGATCCAAAGTGGCAGAGGCTTACAAACGCTACCTTTGTTCTGCTAAAGAAGAGAAAACCATTTTAGATCTCACCCCAGGTGTTTTCTCTGAATTTTTTAGTATAGCACAAGTCACTGATGAAAGGAGAACATTCTGTGTTTTAGTGATTGGAAGTGGTGACAGCTGTGAAGATTTCAATGTTAAGGGGTTCAACATGGCAGCTGAAGCAATTGCTGAGTTAAAAGATGCATCCTACAAACTGAGGTTTCTTTATTCACTGAGAGAAAAAGGCAAGGAAATAGCAGACAAGTTGCTTCAGCATGGCATCAGTTTTAATCAGCTAATTGATCGCAACATTGATGACAGCAGAGACATGCTGGCCAACTTATTTTGTGAGGTGGATCTTGCCATAATGCCATCAAGGACAGAGGGTTTTGGATTGCCTGGTCTTGAAGTGTTATCTGCTGGTCTGCCTGTACTTGTCAGTAGTAATTCAGGACTTGGAGAAGCTCTCAGAGAAGTGCCCTTTGGCTCATTTCATGTGATAGACTCTGAAGATCCTAAAGACTGGGCTGAAGAAATTAAAGCTGTGCGTCAAAAGGATAGGAAATTACGCCTTCAGGAGTCAACATTTCTTCGTGATCGTTATCAAGAAACTCATGAGTGGGAGAAACCATGCAAGATCCTGGTGGAAAAGATGCAGAACTTTGCACCTGGTAAAAAGCTTTCATTTATAATAGCAATGTATTTGAATTGGATAACAGTGAAACAGTGAAAACATGATGGAAAATACACTGTTCTAACATGCCCAGACATACTGTACATGCTGTAGGCCATTAAGGTTTTAAATGATGATGGCCAAGACTCTTTATTGGCCAGCTCTTTGTAGGAGTGGTCAAAGAAGATATCAAATGCATGTGCTCTCATATATATATATATAGAGGTAGGGGGGGTCAGGGAATTTGAAATTAATTCCAGTCAGACCAGCCTTCACCTGGGAGTAAAGTACAGCATATCTAGGTGCTTAGTGCTACGGAAAGCTTAAGAAAGGTTTGCTCCAAGGAACCATTTTTTGATATACTTTATCTTCATATGATTAATAGTTTGATGTGTGTTTATGGTTTAAAATGTTTGTCTTCTTTTAAATATGATTTCAGATGCTTTATCCTATGAATTCCACTCCACAGGTCCAACCAGTGAAAGTCCACAAAAACAAGAAGAGCTTAAAAAATGGAAACTGAAGACAAAGATTGTTGAGAAAATGAAAATGAAAGGTGAAAACAAAATTAAAAGATGTATTAAGTTATTATGGAAAATTGTTGTGAAAAGTAATAACAATTTTTTATTTGACAAAACTTTGAAGAATTGTCTCAAGGCAATAATGTGGAATTGATAATTGGTATAATTATTTTAAAGAGCACGACTTATGGGTAACATACAAAACATATCTGAAGAGAGGCTGTGAATGCTTATCTCTCCCTTTACTTTTTGCTGTTAGGTACTTCACCCCCCACTGTAATACCCACTTCTGGTCACAGAAAAGAACTTATAGAGAAAATGCAAGGAAGGAAAGGTGAACAGGAAGCTCAGTTTGAATTAATTTTTCAAATGAACATGTTCAGTGTGTTCAGCTATCATGCCAGGTGTAAAGAACTGTGCTTTTGGGATTAAGCATTTAAGGTTGCTAGGGTCTGTAGGGTAAAACTTAACTGACAATCATTTGAAATAGTTTCAGTTCTTATTAAAAATATTAATTTTAAAGAAATTGACTCTTTCCACCCTAACATCAATATTCATATTCTCCATACTGTTCTCTGATCATTTACTAAGGTGCTGACAAGGAGAATTTGTCTAACAATCAAGAATTTCTGTTATTGGTGATCATTTCCTTTATTCTCATGACATTAATCTGTGATTCAGTGGTGATACTGTAAGGGTTAAAACCCAAGCGAGTTTTCCCTAAGGTAATGTTAAGATGGTAGTGGCTGGGGATGGTGAAACGGTTTTAATAACAATGATAAAATAATCATAATCATTATGATATTATAATTATAGTATAATAAAGGGTTTTTCCAACCTTAATTATAAATGATGTATTGAAAAACTGACATTGATGATGTATTTTAAATAAATTTCATGCTCTATATATAGATGGTCACATATTGATTTTCCATGTTATCATCTCTCAGATAATGTAAAAGTAACACCATGAATACTAATATTGCTGTAAACAATGTAAAATAATGTAAATTATTCCAAATGTGATTGTGCCTCATTCTCTACCTATGTTGAAGGGAATTTGAGCTTGTTTGTGGAATTAAAACAATATACATGAGATACATAATGTATTTATCAAATTGATTTTTTCAACAATTTTTAAAATCTATCTTTAGGTATGCCTGTTTCTGACTAATAATTATTGTCAGTAGAAATGCTAATCTCTCTCTGTATAACTTTGTTTTTAGGCATGTTTCCTCTCCCTGTATCTTCCACCTTTGATCCTGAAGAAGTAGAAGAGCCACATATGAAACTTCCAAGAATGGAAGGTAAATAAAAGATGCTGTTAAATTAACTTTAATGGTAAAACTAAACTAAGAATGCTTTAAGAGTGTGCCCATGAGAGCACCAGGCAGTCATGCAACATGCCATCTCACCAATTTCAATGAAACTTTGCCAGGTTAAAGTGTCTACCCCAAAATTCAAATAGGCAAACTGGTTTCTGTTTAGGGTTATTTCCAGGGGAAGATAGGTCAGCCACCCTGGTTTTTCTTGGTCTTCACCAAGGAAATTGCATTCCCTTAGATTTGGAAGTAAAATATGAAAAGTCATTACCAACCAGAACCAAACCCCTTCTTCTATTAATTTCAAAGAACCTCAGTCTGTTATCGGTAACTTTATCTCTCAGTCACAGATTTTAAAAGGCATCCAAGACAAAAATATGGCAGTGCACAAAGATGGTTTTCAGAGTTTGAAATGATGGATTATAAAGGGGAATTAAAATTAGTGTTATAGCTTTCTAGCAAGGAAAGGTATTTTACCTCAAAGTTATCAAATACTTGGATGAACCAAAAAGTCTTAAAGCAGAGTCATTTATTTGCCTCTGTTGATTGACAAGCCATCAATAAAATTGACTCATACTTGAGTTGTGCATTAATTAAGGATGTAACAAGAGGTATGTAAAGTCTCAGAGTAATGGGTTAAATACCATCACATTGAGAGCTTGATACATTTTACCTATTTTGAAGTAATTTCTTTGGTGAAAACCTTGTTCTTAGGTGCTTCAACCCACCTGAAAACCAAGGTCTCTCTCCCCTGGAAATAACCAAAACAGAAACCAGTTTGCCTGTTTGAGTTTTGGGGTAGACCCTTTAAAGTGGCAAGGTTTCATTGGAAATCTGTGAGACTGCAGTAGCACAACTGCCTGGTACTCTTGTGGACACACTCCTTTTTTCCCATCATTTAAAATGTAGATTTTTCCCCAATCTCTCCTTCAGTTTAAAGGAGTAATGAGTTGGCTGTTGTGAGGGTTGATGGAATAGGCACATTTAAGTTTGACATGAGGAAGACACTGAATGCCAATTTTGCTTCACACTTTTGGTCTTAGGTGCTTCACCCCTATCTGATATGTTCACCACTATTCGTGAAAAAGAACAAGAAGAACTACCTAAAGCTATGAGACTTCAGGAAAGAAAAGGTGAAGTGAAAAAAGAATCAGGAACTCAGAGTAAGTCAAATCTAATAAGAGGTACTAAATTTATACAGTGGCTGATGTAAATATTTGTAACATTTATAAACATTTGAGCCCAAGGAACTTGCTTGAGATAGATCTATAACACAACTTGTATTTTTTTTAATTCGTATTATTTATTATTAGCTGGTGTACTTGTTCTTCTGTCATATGATTAAATACAACTGCATAGATGACCTTTAGTTCATGTAATATTCTGGAAGAGCAACTGCAACTGAAATATTGTTGGCAGTTTTTTCACCAAGAGAGCAGAAATGTAGATTCCTTTTTATAGGTTATCTTCTTTTGTTGATGTGTGATTGACTCCCAGTGGCTTCTTGTGATGTTTTCCTTGCTCCAGATGGGTTACTGTTTTTACCTGGGTTTTGCTTTTTGTTGTGCAACTCAATTTAAAGAGAACTATTATACGTTTTATCTGATACAGTAACTCAACCTAAAGTCTTAAAACTTGAGATGATAGTCTGCTTAATATTTTCTTCTTCTTTTTTCATGTTTTCTTCCTCTGGAAATTAAAAAGAGTTATCTATAAGGAATAACAAGATCAGTGTTAAGAGGTAAGTATGCTTGAAAAGTGGAGTACAGTTATTAAATTTTTTGCCTTCTCATTTACTGAACATAGGCATGTAACCTCAAGGTCCAGTCTCATTGCCTGCATGGCTTCAACAAATATGTGTTTCATGAATTTGCTAGCAAAGTGAGAAAGAAATATCTGTGAGCGAGCCATGTAGCAAAGTTGGAAAAGAGCAGATTTTTTTTGTGTGCATTTTTAATGAAACAATTATTCTACTCAGGATTGCAGAATATTAGATTATCATTACCAACTTGGGACTATTCACCTTGTTGGTTATTTATCATCTCATATTTGGCACGCCCCAGCAGAATAATAGTTAATTAGTGCTTTTGTTCAACATCAAATTTGGAGTACCTAAGGTAAATAATTGAATTATGTAACCATGTGACGGATGTTTGCATTGAACAGCATGCACAGAGAGTTACTATTTGATTGTTAATATTATTGTTATAATTACTATATATTACTGTTTTTGTTGACGATAATACCCTTTGTTCCATCGAAAAGAAGACCAAAGAACCAATACGAAGGGAGAACCGTATTTAATTTAATAACACAATTCAGTCTAAAGTACAAAGAAACAACGTTGGCCTTGCAAGCGTTCAAAACAAACAGAAAATTAACTGTGATAACCTGAAAATCAACTAAAAACTTACTTCTTGACTGCCTCCGTACTTGTGGCAAATAACTGGCTAGCAATTATACAACAACTGGTTAGCTTGGTTGAAGCTGAACTGAACAACTGAACAACTAGATTACGCGTCATAAATTAGACGTTTTACGTGACAAACATTGCGATAATTATTGCGATATATCGCGTTATATGAATTCAAACGGAGCATGCGCGGAACGGTAAACACAAGTAGCGCGCGCGTTAATGAAAAGAATTTTCAGTGAAACACCTTTTCTTGTTCCCTTTCTTTTTTAATTTGATTTCACATCTCTCATTTTACAGAAGCAAGATTACCGAGGAAGGAGGGGTACTAATGGTCCAAAAAGTTCCATCGCGTGCAATGATCCCTCCTAAAGCCCTGTCAACATGTACAGAGGTCACATGTTCTTTATGGAATCTTCAGATTCTATCACCACCCCTTGGAAGAAATGAGGCCTTAGTGAGCAGTGTGATGGAACTAGCCTGTGGAAGCCTTCCTGGTACAGAGAAACGTTACGAGTTCAATGTGAAAGTGAAGTTGGCTTTATGCCACAGTGCTAGTGACATTAAAGGATACGAATTAGTGATCAAAGAATTAATCAATGAGAAGACTAATGATTGGAGGGACTTGGAAACCAGATGGGCTTGGACACCATCAGGTAGAGGCTATATTGGTAATTTACAGGGTACAGCCATTCTTCCTTAGAAATTTTGACCTCTTTCTTTGCACGAAACCACAAACAATTTTGAATGTATAAGAAGATACACAGGCTTTGTATTTCTTTGTTATAGACTTACTTTGTCATTGAAGTAGGTCGTTTCAATGTTCATTTTTATCTTATGTGATTGTCCAACGACCACTTCAGTTGTTTTACTTCTGATATGACAATCGTGCTTGCCAGACACAAATTGAAAGAACTGTTTGTAAAAATATGAAGCTGAATCAACAGAGATATATGATTGAAAATAGAGGGTTTCTGATTGTCAAGAGGAAAGTTAACAACACCTTCTGCCTCAATTCAGATATCAAAGATGAGCATTCCGGCGTGGAAGAATTCCCAGACTGGTTATTTCCGTTTGCAGAGGCAGAAATTACGAGTTTTTCTTCGTTTGCCGTGGTCTGGCGTCTCAAGTCTTTCACGTTTAAAAACCTTTCGACCTTGTCATCTCCCTTTCCCTGCATTCTGTCAGACCATCCAGGAGTGAGTGTAACATTCCCTGAGAGTTCTCTGCCTACAGGAAAAACTTTAACTCTTACCGTAAAGGTACTTGTACACCACTTTTACCAGAATCGCATATACTAATATTTTACATATTAACATTAAGCTTTTGCCGTTAAAGATAAAACTTTTGAACACGAAGGCAGACACATCAGCCCACGATTCAATAAGTGTGATGTTTCGATGCACATAATTATCACTACTTACCTTCAGTCAGCGACTTCAGTGAGCGATGATTATATATTCAGTTTCCCTTACCGACTCTTTATTAAGTTGGGGCGCTTTTGAGTTTTCATTAGTTCACTCAGTACAGCTTCATCTTTCTTTGAAGGTGCAAGAGGTTCCATGCAGTAATGCTAAATTGAAAGAAGGACTAGTTCCTGGACCTATTCTTCACATCTCACTTTCGGAACCAGTTCAGCCATTAGCACCTGTTAGGCTCACAATCCCTGTTACACTCCGGGAAGACGTACCCAAATGTTCGGGTTATTCGACCGCTGACGTTAGGATATTTTTCCGAACCTCTGAAGAGGATGAAAGAGAATGGAATGAAGTCACAGAGCAGTTAGAAAATATAGCGGTTCTTGAAAATGGGTCAATAACGTTTACAGTTAAACATTTCTCAAAGTAAGTATACTCTACTGGCTGTTTCGAAAGCAGCAATAAACTGCAAAGCATTCACGTAGGTAGGGTCTTTACGAATCTTTAGAGAGAAGACATGCATCATTAGGAGACACTTGGGTGTACAAAAATGTGGACGTCTTAGTTAGAACAACAGAAAAGAGACTAATTACAAGAGCAAAGGAAACCAAACGACTAGATTATTATTTTAAATCCGATTCGTCACCTATAGGTATTTATTGCAAACCTTAATCGACCTTTCGGGGATCTCAGTTTATTACACAAATCGCGGTATGACTCGCTTATTAACGAGATCTTGTGGGAGCGCAATTTTTTTTTTGTCCGCCCTCGACGGACGTAGACAGAGGCATGTTACGCATGCAAGAGTTTTTTTCGACGTGAGTTGAAATGGAATACCAAGTACTGATGTTTGCATTTTTCTGAAAGAAAAAGAGCCTTAAAAGAGCTCCCCGATCAGTGGCGAGCAACTTTTTAAAGAAACCTTCAAATTTATCTGAACTAAACTCAGACACGCGTATTTACTGTTGGCAAAAAAAAAAAACTACATTGATGTCATGCTTCCTGTAGTCTCATTCCCCCGTTGCACTCTTTCCTTCGCTGCGTGACGAGACCAAGCAGCGGCCTGTTCGCAGACTAAGGCAATGCTTACTGTCGTTCCTTCGTCAGCGAATTTGATTGATAGCAAATGTCTCAGCACGGTGAATTGCGTGAGAAATTTTCTTAGTAGAGTAGGATTATGTCATATAATTTAGGTTGTTTACTGGAAAATGGCATTTAATCTGAGAAAGTCTCTTAGTAAAAAATTTGGTTATTTTGCTTAAGGCTGAGAATATATTTTTAACAATTCTGAGGACTGGGTTTATTCCTTTGTCCTGGTTAAAAGTTATACGTCGATCAATTCGAACCTTCAACATACCCACACGGGCAACCTCTGGTCCTTTGAACTTTTGAAGATTGGTTCGTTCAAATTCCCGGCACCCCATGGGCCAAATTGTGTCTAAATTCCCCACTCAAGTGCCGTATTTTATTGTCAATTACCCCTCTTCCAAAGAAAAAATGTTTAAATGGCGAGAAAAAAGGCATGGTTTATGGCCTTTCGCTTGTAAGCATAATTGTAACATGTGAAATTTTTTCATACTATTGTGCCCACTGAATGCAAGACCTTGGAATGAATTATAGTTGATAGTAATTGAGGGAGGTTGTTTCATATTTATAGCGTTTTTTTATTCACTATCCAATAGCTGTTCATGCATGCTTTGCGGACAAAAACTTTTTTGTGAAAATGGCAAGATCAGCGCTGCGACTTTCTACTCATTGGCTGGTGACTGATTTGACTATTCAAGCTGTAAAACCTAAAAATCGCACTACTCAATCTCAAAAAAATTTGCACAGCGTTCGAAGACCTTTTTTTCCCCTATTCTTAAACTTTATTATCTGGAAAAAGAGCTCATTTTTACCGCTGGCAGGACTTGACACTTCTAATTCAAGTTCGTACTTCCGATTCAAATGCCCCACCGGGCAAGGTTCAAATTTCCCACCCACGGAAAGGTCTTTTTGATCGAATTCTCCTCCTTCTTGGGTAAGGACGTCAGTCAAATGTCCGTGGGTTGTCCGGGAGGGGGGGGTTGTTGAAACTTCGGATTGATCGGTGCATTAGCAGTTACTCTGTGATTCTAAGCGAGCTGGAGCCCATTACCCGCAGCCTCCATACCAATTGTACCCTTGAGTCAACCCAGTCCCGAATCTTTTTATTTTTAGAACTGAGATACGTGGGGGGTTTTTTAATTTCCCGCGAAAACACGCTGACGTTCGCATAACACCCTAAAAAAAATGGTAAACTTTCCGCGCCTTTCGCCATGATTGAAATACTGTCGAGCGGCCTGCATGTGACGTAAACAATAGAGGACCACAGCTCTCTTATGATTAGCTATTATGTAAACACCCGCGAAAAACCCCGAAGGGTAAGTATGGAAGATGGAAGCTCCGGGTAATGAGCTCCTGACGCAAGAGATTATTTGTTTATATTCTCTTGTTCTAGAATGTGCGCGCTCTGATGATGAATGATTGGGATGCTCTCTTTACTTTGATGACTATTTGAATAGATGTTGTTAAGTTTGTCTCGTTTTCCTTTAGGTACTGGGTTTGGATTGATCGATTGAAATCACCCTTTGCTATCCTAAAGAATCTTGCCGATGACCTCTATAGAAGACTGATGTCACAAGAAGTAGGATTTTTTGCTCGATTATATGCAACAGAAAATGCCAGGATCTACATGCTGACTCTTTGCTGCTTCCCACTCCATCTTAAAGAACAAGTACAAACTCCTCTATCTCCAGATCTTCGCCGCGTTTGTGCTCAAGGGGGAGGAAACTCGCAAAAGCCACTGTGTAAAGAAGATCGGATGTCTGTGTCTCTTTCCAAAGCATTTACTTTGATGCAAGAAGAAAATCTAGATAACTTCTTGAGGTGGGTTTATTAATTTTTGTTCATCCTATTTCCATTGTGTCCGGCAACTTGGAGTAGTTGCGTGATGAGAAACATATCTTCTGCCTGGACAATAAGAAATACATAGTATTTAGTCTTGGTTTAATTTGTTAATGCTAGGTTTCTCGGAAGTGAATCTTTTGAAGGAAGTGTGCCTGTATCCATTAGCGACTTTAGTAACCTGCAAGCAGAGTTGTACACGAAGGTGCAATTTAACAAGGACACATTATGCACACTGTATTTCATTCCCACCTTTCCAGATCAGGTATGTATTATGTGAAGTTGAAAATATTGAACTAGGGGAGTATATTTTGATTAGGAGCTGTTTTAGAAACGTAATTTTTGAAGCTCTTTCCCTCGGGCTGAGTAACTCTCAGGATTCACCAACCCAAAAAAACCTCCGTCTATGCGAAGGTTTTACACCCCTCGCGCTGCCGTGCAAAGTGCGAGGGGTCTTCAAAGAAGATTAAGTTAGCTCTTACAAATAATTCCTTCACTGTACTTCTTTTCAATTTCATCATCTTGTATCGTTGCATCTATTTGGCACTGGTGACGTTAAGTTAGACTTAAATTGCCACTGGCAGAGCTAAACTACTCTTTTTGTGGGATATCTAGTTAGACAGTTTGCTGCAGCCTGAGTTTTGCAGATTGTTAGTGAAAATAAAATGAAGACGCTACTACATGAGCGATTTTACGTCCCTGTGAAATTACGAGAATGAATCACAACGGAAATGGCACTCAAACTCGCAACAAAAAATCACTAGTGGGAATGGCTGGTAGTGTATAGGATTTTCTTTTAAAATGATCGACGACCATCATATCACATGCGCACTAGAGTCTCCTCGGCTTTGAAGGACTCTAGCTTGGTAAAGGCACAGGGCATAGTGTATATTGTTAGAGAGTCAAATGTACCAATTGACAACAATTTTCTTGCGACAAGGCCAGAGAACTGATAAATATAAATGTCGGATATAATATTTTTCTAAGAGATTAAGTTTCTCTGTTCCAGACCTCTTCTCTCAGGAACTTGCCTTCTACAACACAGGTAGCCACGCCTGAACAAAAGGACGATCAGGTGAAAAAGGTAACGTTCTAAAATATCAAAGAAAATAGCTACAAGAATTAGCAATTTCAACCGACCCTTCAAATATCCATAGTTTTCAATGAAATATGTCCCTATCTTTCCAGATCTTAAACTTGCTAATGGATCAAACAAAAAGATTTATTCAAAGTTCCGTGCTATTTACATTTCCCTCAGCTTATGTTCAATATCACTGATACTCTATCATATGAGTCGTCATCAAAAAAATTTGATGATAATTCATCACTATTTTGATTTTGATGAAGTCACGAGCTTCGTTTTAAGGTATCAGTTCGTTAAAATTGGTTATGTTGTCTGATCGTCCAGGTGAGTGTAGTCCTGACGACCCTGGGGACTGTTGTCGGTAGTAGTGACTGACGTTTTGACAAACTCAGCAGAATTCAAAATCAGACGGTCCATTGAAGAGTTGTTGCCAGTCGATTGTTTTATGTCCGGTTTGCACACCCTGATAGAATAAGTAGAGAACTTTAAGGTGGGTTTTTAGTTGATGTAATTCATCGCACGTTTCTATAACCCTGTTATGTTATTTCAGGTTGCGCTGGAATCCAGCACAGCTTCCCTTTCACCGAAAGCACCTGAAGAAACAGCTTCAAATAATTTCTCAAAAGAAGCTTTGAAAGTTACAATCCTAGCAGACGAGTGGAATTCACTAAAAGGTGGATTATCGACGTTTAACAGAGAACTTGCTATTCATTTAGCAAGCCGTTCCGATACTCAAGTCACTGTCTTTGTTCCTCACGGTGCATGTGGAGAGGAAGAAAAAGAAGCAGCTGCGAAAGATTGTGTTACTATTATTGAGGCAGAAAAACTTATTGCATGCTCTCCTTCCGAACAATTGTTTTTTCCACCGAAAGACCTTCGAATCGATGTAGTAATTGGTCATGGCGTGAAGCTTGGTAAACAGGCGCAGAAGATTAGAAAATCTCATGGCTGCAAGTGGGTTCAAGTAGTGCACACTGCTCCGGATGAACTCGGTATGTACAAGGACTATCCGGAAGCTATCGCACGCAGTGAAGAAAAGAACCAGGATGAGGTTAGTCTATGCAAAATAGCTGATCTTGTCATGGCAGTTGGGCCTAAATTGAAAGGTTTCTACTCCAATCATCTACGCTCTGTCAACGAAGACCAAAATGTTGTGGAATTTACACCGGGAATTATGAGAGATTTAACTAATGTTAAGCAGTCGCCCAACGAGAATGACGTGTTTCAGGTCCTAATGTTTGGGCGTGGTGACGAGGAAGACTTCAAGCTAAAAGGCTACGATATTGCTGCTGGGGCATTTGCAAGTCATGAGCTGAAAAACGATTCCTATCATCTCACGTTCGTTGGAGCGGCCCCACGAAAGCAAGAGGAATTTGCAGCAAAGGTTCTCCAACATGGCATTTCTGAAAACCAGCTGTCTGTCAAAGAATATATAAAGGATAGAAATCGATTAAAAGAGCTGCTTCTTCGTATGGATCTGGTGATCATGCCTTCAAGGACGGAGGGATTTGGACTCACTGCTCTCGAGGCCTTATCCGCTGGTTTGCCCGTTCTTGCTGGCCATAACTCAGGCTTTGCAAAAGCGATGCAGGAGGTAGAATTTGGAGAACTCTGTGTAGTTAACTCCGATAATCTCGAAGACTGGTCAAAAGCGATCAAGAAGGTCCGTCAAAAGGAGAGAAGAAAGCGGCTTCAAGAGATGCAACGACTGCGGGAATCTTATGGACAGAAGTACAGCTGGGAGGAACAATGCAAGATTCTTGTAAGGGAGATGAAGAGAAAAGTTTTTGGTAGGCAGGTTCTTTTTTTCCTTTCTATCCTTGGTTTATTCAAATCTTTGACAATTGAAGCAATGATTTTTTTTTTTGAGTCTGCTTTTTATTTCTTTTTCTCTTTTGCTGTTCATTTATTCGTTTTTCTCGTCATTCATTTATTAATTCCTTGATTTATCTATTTATTTATTTATTCATTCACTCCTAACTCTTTCTCCTTCCTTCTTTCCTTCATTCATGTCTTCCTACCTTTCTCTCTTTCTTCTTTCCTTCATTCATGTCTTCCTACCTTTCTCTCTTTCTTCTTTCCTCTTTCCTGCCGGCTATTCCATCATCTCTTTACCAATATTTCTACTACTACTAGAAAATCAACTTACATTCTCTAAAATTGCAGATTTAAGCCTTTAATTACTCTTATACTTTTCAGCGTAGAACCTCAGTACATCGATAATAAACCTATCAAGACACCGTGAGAAACAACATGGTTATTGAACTCAGAATTGTTTACTACTGAAGAAGCTTGACGATTAACGTCTTTCTTAAATTTTTTATTTCATTATATTAGCCAGGAAAACGTTTGCTCAAACCAAGATTTGTAAGATCATCAGATTTAGATGTACATATTCTAGTTTTGATATAAATTTCCTCGTAGTGCAATACTGAAGTTTAAAAGTCACATGTTTCACCTAGAGACCGAACCAACAGTTTAGAAGAGGGTATGTTACTCGTAGACACTAAATGGACATTATATTTGTTGTCACTTCCTGACTTTTTTTGACGACAAAGCTATGCAACTTTATCTTATTTGAGCTAAAAAGCTTTTCTCCATGGACACGAACTATTCTTGCTGCGTGAGAATCCATCACATCTGCGTGGAGAATTGTGACTCAGAGACGCGAAGATGTGATATAATGTTCTAGTAGTGGAGCAATTTTCAGATAAGTGTCGACAGTTATCCGGGAGTTATCCTTCAACGTGCCCTGTGATTGGCTTAGACAACTCACGGCAACTGATTTTAACCAATAAAATGCAAACCAAAAACCATCGCTACTTAGTCACTGACGTTTTCGGTCAGGTAGTTTTCCTTCAAGTAGTTTGCGTGTTTTTTATTTTATTTTCGTTACTTTGAGTTTATGACGATTTCTTGAGATCATTTTTTTTTCTGCTTTGATCGACGGTCATGATTAGACACCGGAACGAAAAGCGCTCCAAGAATAATAGGAATTGTTTTACCACGAGAAATTTACGATGATTTGTTCGAACCTCCATCGACCTTACTGTGAAACTATGTAGTACTTAATCGTTCAACAAGCAAGAACTCGAGCAAATCAACGATTTTAAAGCTAAGTCTGTTAACGCCCATCAAAGAAGATAACAAAACACGGCTACTTTGATGCATAAAATTGAAACAAATACTTGGTGACTCACACTTTTAAGGTTGCAAAAATATGTTATCGAGAATTTGAAGATTATAGCATTCTTTATCCTTAGTTATCTATGTCGTTTTCTAGACCAGCACACTTTAGTTGACACCCTAGTGATGTTTTGGACAACATCTATGGGAATATGCCCGACCAGCCGGGAAAAAACGTGATTCTCTAAAGTATGAGACAATTGTATAACAACAATAAGACATGCTTTTGTAAATCCGTTGGAAAATATAATCTTTCAAATAAACATACTGCCATCAGTTGTTATTGCTTTTTTTTATGACCGAAATAATCGTTATAAAACCTATTTCATTCTTCGTTGCTCTACCCATAAGTTAGTTTTAACTTTCCGTTATTCCCGTAGAGGCTTCGAAAAGAAACACTCTTAGAAATGAGACCTTGAAACTAGAATGGCGTGCATTTGCCCCTAATCCTTTGCAGACAAGCAACGGTTGGTCTTATACAACGAACAATGTCAGCAATGCAAGGAAGCATCTAGCTGTGTTGTGGTCTTTTACAACTGAAACTGACACTGATGATAATATTTTTAGTAGTATAGTAAATGAAAGCCGGAACAGAAACGCGAGAGACAAAGTTTGATCGTACTTTTGCGATGCTTCCCTGTTTCAATACGAACACTCAACCATGCCTTTTTCCCTTGAAAGATGGCCTGTGTGTCAGCCTCAGCCCGTATACTTAGCGGTTTTGTGCGCGATTTTAAGCGTCAAGCGGCGGAGCTGCGAAGAACAGGCCGTGAAGCTGCGAGAGGCTTTAAACGAAAAATAGACGGGGTTTTACACCCGAAACTTCCCCACCCTTATTTTACTTAGCACCCGCGAAAAAATTGCTAGCTTTTGAACATGGACGGGACACAGATTTATTTATTTACAAGTTCATTCCCTGAGCCCTCCCTTCCGCCTCCTATACCTCATCTTGAGAGGTAATCAACAATGTTCTTCTTGCGAAAACTTAATTGAGACAAATCACCTATGGAAATGACCAATCGCCCTAAAATTCAGGCTTCACAGGGAAACATAGCTAATTCAAAATGTTAAGTATAATTTTGTTGTACACGTTCATTTGGTTTGCTAGGGTCATCAGAAATTAGGGGAAATCAGAGGAACAATTTAAAGATAGTTTTCTAGCATTGGGGCAGTTATCGTGGAAGTGTCTGCAAGAAGACCGGTTAAGAGTTGCCAGAATTTGAAAGTACAATGAAAACTTTGGCAGCTCGTAAACTTGGTTTGGTATTTAAAGAGGCCAGTGTGAAGAAGATTAACCCTCAGCACGAATATCACTTTTTCCAAAAGACTTTTCAAGAGTACTTGGCGGCATTATATCTGGCACACAAGCTACTGGAACAGAAGGTTAATGTCTTTCATAACTTGAAGTTATGCTGGAACTGGAGAGGGTGTACTAAGCAAGAGTGTTTCAGTGAATACGGAGAAGCAGAACAAATGGCAATGACTCTTTGTTCCTTTATCCCGTTTCCACAGTCAGTAACCAGTAACATCGGAAATAATTTATTTGAAGGTGTCCTAGGTGTTGCAAATGCTTCCAAGAGCTTCTCACAATTACAATTAACTGTTCATCTTATTGTATGTGATTCTAATATCCATGTGGAGTTTTTTTTCTGTTTACATGTTGCTAATCTCTTACTCCAGGCTAGAAACTCTTGTCTGTATTGTTGCGACAATAGCACAAGACTTTACTGCCCTTGAGTGCGACGCACTTCAAATGAACACATCTTTACATTCCTTTACTATACAAACAAATTGCAGCTTTCCCTCTAAGGGGGCTGCTGCAATTGGTGACAGTTAAGCCGCAAAAAGACACTACAAACCGTGACTTAAATTTGCTGAGTGATTTAGGTGAGGATTGGGCCACTGTTCTTGAAAAAGGATTGTCTGGAGGTACACCGCTGAAATCTGTTGTGCTGGAGATCAATGGCTCAGTAAGGGAAAGTGATATGGTGCCTTTAAACAATTCGTTATTGAACAGATCAATGGCGGCTTCGGTCGCTGAAGTACTTGCAGCTGATCCGCTCTTAAAATCCCTCACATTGACTGTATATGGAAGCGTCAGCTGCTCTGCTTTTATTTCGTTGAAAAAGGGTGTTCTAGAAAATAGTGCTTTGAGGTCACTGGTATTAAAAGTGTTTGGAGGACTCCCCGAGAACTGGATGAACATTTGTGAGGCTCTCTATGCTGCTAAAAAGTCATCTCTGTCTCTTATAATTAAGCCGGATTTAGTCAGCAAAATAAAAACTTCGCAGGTGGTCTGTCTTCGTCCTGTTTTACTAGAGGAAGAACGTGGCGTGTTGAAACTTCACTCATTTACTGTAAAGATATGAGGAGAGTTGAGTTACATTGGAGCAAGTGATTTATGCAAACTCCTGATAGCCTCAAGAGTTTCTTGTGTTAATTTGAATATTCGTGGAAGAGTAACAGATGGTGTTGCTACCTGTTTGGTTAAGAACTTTGACAAAGTTAAGTCACTGTCCAACTTGAGTATCAACATTAGGGGAGAGGTGACAAGAGAGGGAAAGAGCACTCTTCAAGCCCTAACATGCAATCAAAAATTTCCTTTATTTTAAGTGTCCATGACGGAAAGACAGTTGACGAAATATGCGAAGAAGTTGAGTTATCTGTAGTCGATTCTTCGTCATTAACATCAGCATTTACAAACGTCGAGACTATCTGCTCACGTGTAAGTAAAGTGAGTATGAACTTTGATAACCCCATTTACTCAAGTGAGGAGGACTGGGGATGCAGTCTTGGTGACGTTTTAGCAAAATTCTTGTCACTTGCCACATACGCTTCTTACTCAACAACTGCGGTGGCATGAACTGGATGTGCGAACTTGGAAGTATTTTGGCTCAAAACAAGTCGATAACAACACTGAGTATTACACCCAACAACTACGGTCACTGTGACATGAGTAAAGACTGGATGGACCAACTGGGAAGTGGTTTGGCACAAGACATGTCGATAAACACGCTGAGTATTACAGTCAACGACTACTTTGACATACGTGAGAGCACGATGAGCGAACTGGAAAGTAGTTTGGCACAAAACACGTCGATAACCACGCTGCGTATTACAGTCAACAATTGCAGTGACATGAGTGAACACTGGATGGGCGGACTGGGAAGAGGTTTGGCAAAACACGTCGATAACCACGTTGAGTATTACATTCAACAACTACACTGTCATAAGGGAACACTGGATGGGCTGACTGGGAAGTTGTTTTGCACAAAAAACCTCAATAACCACGCTAAGTATCACAATGAACAACAACAGTGACATAAGTGAAGGCTGTACCGGTGGATTTTAGAGAAGTTTGGCACAAAACACGTCAATAACAGTATAGTATTACAACAGCTACGTTCAAGGGAATGGAGACTGGGTCTGATTCGAAATTTCTCGTGGGGGAAAAAGCGCTGGAACCTTCCTTACACCTTATTTTACCACTTAGCTATAGCTGAGCATCGGAGCGCGAAATCCGCAGGTCTTCCCATTCTTCTCAAGCTCATGACGAAACGAAATAAATTTTTATTTTATAACTGACAGGTATGTAGCATGAAACGGCGATGTTTTCATCCGATATTGTCCATGTACTGCTTTCAGTGTACTCGCACAACAAGAGCACGAATAAAATATATTTCATTCAGTTGTGTACCTCTTTTATTTTTACCTTGTTTTATTTGGCCCCGCAGCAAGACCAAGTAGGCGACTCAATTCAGGTAGTGTATGTACGAGTCGCAACTGTCAAAGCTTTCATTGTCGCTTTTGAGGTCAAGATTGTAATAGTGCAGACAAAAACTAAGCCAAGGGATCCGAAAATCTCCGTTCGGACCAACATTTAAATATTCTTTTCTTGTACAAACTACGTATACGTAACTGAATACTTCATACACTGTACATACCAACAAAAATATTATGTAATCCAAAAGGCTAAATACTAATTTTATTCCTTGATACAGCGTCAGTTTACTTTTTTTTAACCGCGGAGCATTTTCTAAAATCTAAGTGTTCGTGCGAGAACTGCCAGGTTATGGGAACAGTCGAGGCCTGTATTTGTTGTCAGGAAATAACGGTGGTGAAAAATAAATAATAATAATAATTTATTCACTTAATATAGCGTCTTTCCCGAGAAAAGTTACTCGTTGTAAGCTAAATTAAAAACACGTGTCTTAAGTTTTTTCCTAAAAATGCTGAGTGATGTTATTCCCCGAATATTTACTGGAAGACTGTTCCACAGTGTGGGGGCAGAAGCATGAATGAACGAGCTCCTAATGTAGATGGCATGCGCCCCTTGGGACGGTCCAAAAATAATGAAGAATTTGATTTAGGGGAATAGACAGAATACAGCATAATGGACACTAAGTTACTAATGTAGCTAGGTGACATATTATATATAGCCTTAAATGTAATAATTTAAATTTTAAAATAAATGCGGTAAAACACAGGTAGCCAGTGAAGGTTATATGAAGCTAGTGTAATATGATCATACTTTCTGGTGTTCGTTATTAAGAACAGGTCTCTGTAAGAATCAAACATCTTGGGAAATGAAAATTTTCAACCGCCTTCAAATTTTGCATGCAGTTAGGCACTCAGTGAAATGTTTATTTCTCTATCTCAAGCTAAATACAACATTACAAATTGGCACCTCTGCCATATATAGTGACATCATTCGTCTTCACTTTGATATATTTAATTTTCCCTGGGAGTGAATGTGAACACACCAATAGATTATTTATCTCGGTACAGTTTCGGTCATTTTTGTTGTCGGGTAAAACAGGGAAAATGTTTATCTGAATTTCTCCAAAAGTACACCAATTCTGGAACTGAAACTATCCACCTAGCTGGTTATAATATTATAGTTTTTAAATTTGTAAAAATCTCTGCGGGCCTGCCTCTACTTTCCATAGGGGCAATTCGCGAAAATTTCCCAGGTATATTTAAGAGCCGGATGAAAGGAATTGACGGTAGAGGAGGTAGCGCCGATGCAATCGTCAATGTAGCAGCCGTAGAGTTCAGGTTTTGGGCCGTGGTGTTGACTGAAAAATTGATGTTCGATAAAACCTACAAAAAGATTGGCGTAGCTGGGTCCCATTTTAGTACCCATGGCCACACCCTTAGTTTGTTTGTAGTAGTTACCACCGAATGAAAAGCAATTGAGTGTGAGTACTAGTTCGGCCAGACGGAGTAGTGTTTCAGAGCTAGGTTCTTGAACAGTGCGATGATCGAAAAATTGTTTGAGGGCCCGAAGACCTTCGTCATTGGGAATGACAGTATAAAATTGCTTACAACATCTGAAGAAAACCGCTATGGGACCAGATCTCATTCCCTTTTGGATTTGAAGGGATCACGCTGAGATCTTCACAAGTGTCATTCATAAGATCTGGAATGTTTCCCTGAAAACTGGCAAGTGGCCCTCCTCGTGGAAAAGGGCCCACGTGACGCCCCTCCCTCAGATCGACATCCCTAAGGGCAAGCAGGACTTCAGAGGAATTAAGATCACACCTGTAATTGCACACGCGTTCGAGAAATCTCTGTATAACACCCATGCACGAGACATTGTCGAACAGCATCTGAGTTCAACACAGTTTGCTTATACGACAGGGGGGAGTTGCACTGATGCGCTCTTGAGCATGCAGCATACCATCTACAACTATTTAGACGAGCAAGACTGCAAAGCCGTTTAAATATGCTGATGATTCTACAATTATCGTCCCTTTTTGGGGAAACGGCCAGTGTCGCACTGACTTGGTGGATCAGTTTCTTAGCTGGTCCAGCCGCAATCGCATGACATGCAATCCAACAAAATGCAAGGAGACTATTTTCCATAAGAAAGGTTTCAGTCAGGACATCGCGCCAGTTAGTAATATATTGCAGTGCGCAGAGTTATCCATATCAGGTGTCACCTTCCAACAAAATTGTAAATACAGTAGTCACGTGCGCGCGAAGGTAAGTAAGGCGAACAAGTCATTATTCGTATTAGGATCTTTACGTAAGGAAGAAATGTCCCAGGGGGAAGTAGATCACCTTTTTAACGCAATAGTTTTACCAAATTTTTCTTACGCTCTGCCGGTTTATGGTGCCTCAGATTCCGACCTTTCTGTAACACAGAATTTTTTAGACCGGTGTATGAAAAGAAAGTTTATGTCCAAGAATGTAAATATCAGGGATTTGCTAGAGAAGGCGGACAAGACACTCTACAAAAAAAGATCGAATGACCCCGAATGCTCGTTCTTCCAGTTTTTACCTAAGGAAAAGAACATGAGGTACAATCTTAGAAATACGTCAGTCTCTGTCCCTAGAATCTACACTGACAGGTTTAAGAACGTTTTTAGTAACAGAATAATTTTTAGATATGATATGTATATAGTTTTTTTTGTAACTTAGGATATGTGATTTTATCTTAAGAAATAAAGATTATTATTATTATTATTATTACTATTATTAAAGAGATGTTATATCCATAGTGAAAATAAGTTTGTTTTGGCCGAGGAAACTAAAGTCACGAAAAATTTCAAGTGCGTGTTGGCTGTCCTTAATGTGAGACGGTAAAGTTTTGAAGATAGGTGTCACAATTTTGTCTAAATAGCTGGAAATAAGTTCGGTGGCACAACTGCAGGCAGAAACGATGGGTCGACCTGGGTTGTTAGGTTTGTGGATTTTAGGTAAAAAGTAAATACACGAAGTTGTAGGAGTGGTAATGATAAGATTTTTAGCAGTGGCCGGCAATTCTTGTTTAGCTATAAGATTGTTAATCGTATTTTTGACAACGTTTTGGTTAATTAAAGTGAGATCTTTGTCGACTTTAGCATAAAAGGAGGTGTCAGAAAGTTGCCGCAAAGCTTCTTTTTGGCAGAGGTCGGCCCGCCAAACAACAAATGTCTGCGTTTTTAAGACTTTTTAGTGCCGACCAGTCTTCCGAAGAAAGATTGGAAAATTTAGTGGTACGATTGAATTTAAGTTTGTTGATATCGTGGCGACATTTTTTTTTAGGCTATTACAATAATCGGGTCTGGACGTAACGAAAGCATGAACTAATTTTTAAGGGATTCCTGAAAAAAGTATTTAGAAATTCTACGAACATTGTGAATATGGTAAAAAAAGGTCTTATAAACTTGATTTATACGAGTATCCATACTAATTGAATTGTCAAATATCGTTCCCAAATTCCTAACGTTGACCGAAGGATCAATCTTTAATTACAGTTACATCACGGCTACAGAAAATAACTTATAGCACAGTTACATCTATAGCTACATTACTTATGTTTTTTGTTTTTTACAAATACGTACGTTACAGTGCGATACAATATTTAAAACAATACTGGTTGAAGAGCGGCTAAACAAATAAACTATATATTTTAAAAGAAAAGAAAAAAGAAAAAACGAAAACGTTTACAGTGTATAGAGTGCACTACTTACAATTTATAGGAAAAAGGTAGTTTAAAAGAAAACAAAAAAAGTGCAGGAAAAAAGGATACAAACATCAAATTATATATAAACAGAATTAATGAAAACACTAAGTAAATGCGTGTTGTGCTTGTTTTATGCATGGTTTTTCTTTATAATAATGATTTATGCATTATAATGTGAGAAGAAGAGGGGGAAGTTTTTTATTTCCGGAGAGATGTTGCGCATTCTGCATATCCATACAAAATATCTAGCGACCAAAAAAGGAAATTTAGTTTCTTGTTTTTGTGTGGCTTAAACCCTAGTACTATAAATGGCGATAGATTGAAAATTTCCGCGAAAGGTTCTCCAAGGTTAATTATCCATTGTTTAAGACCTTGCCAGAAACGGTTGGATATATCACAAGTCCAAAATAGGTGGATGAGAGTCTCTTTATCACTTTTACAAAAAGTGCACTGCTAATTGTCCCTGAGGTTTACCTTGGTAAGAAAAGTGTTGGTGGTTAGTCTTCTGTGCAGTAGCTTAAATTGAAAAACAATCAATTTTGTGATTTTTGTGCATAGAAAAGGAGTTCTGTAAACTGCCTTCCAGTCGAAATTATCTGGTGTTTCGAGCATGCATTCTGTTGCCCATTTTCTTTGGGTCTCAAATGGGTTCTTTTGTTTTTGCTTGTCAGAATTTTATGTGTTAGTCTGTTTGGTTTTGTCGTCTTTAGTTTCGTAGTTTCGTAGTTAGGTAGTTTCGTATGCAGTATTACACCTGTTGAAAGTTAGCTTCATTGCTTTTTTGTAAGGCCTTAACAGCTGATAAGATGCCTTGAAAAGAAAGGAAGTTTGTTTTCATGTCGTAAAGCTCTTTAAAATCAGAGAAAGATAGGAAACTATTCGCATCATTCATCAAATGGCCCACTGTTTTAACTCCCTTTACAGACCATGAACGATAGTATACAGGTTTGTTACCGACACGTATAAGAGAGTTATGCCATAGACTTTGCGCCTTTAGCTGATCAATGGAGGAGACATTAGTTTCAAGTGAGATTTCTGACCAGATATGGAGTACTTCTGAAGTAAAGGCCTCTGCAGTTTTTATAGTTTTTAACAGATCTTGTTTATTAAGGTTGGTACGAAAAACTTCGACACCACCTAAATTTTGTAATTCATAGTCAAGCAAAAGTTTCCATTTTCCTTGATTTTCCAGATCTAGATATTTTTTTTATCCAACTTGATTTAAGAGCTTTGTTGAAAATTTTGATATTAATCATCCTTAGCCCTCCGTTCTCGTAGTCGTTGATCATTATGTCGCGCTTTACCTTGTCTCCCTTGCCATCCCATAGAAAATTGAAGAACATATTATTTATTTCTGCTAGAGCGCTGTGGTTGGACGGCAGAGGGGACAGGATGTAAACCAGTTGAGAGGCAATAAGGCTTTTTAAAACTGTAATTTTTCCTAGTAAGGTTAAACGGCGCAGTTCCCGGCAGCTTAAGCTGTTTCTGATTTTGGTTAGTTTTTCGTTGTAATTAGCTTCTATAGTGGTTTTGGGGTTGGTGGAGAGCCATACGCCTAGAGCCTCGAGAAAAAGTAGAAGTCCTGGAATGTTCTTCGCGGCTGTATACTTTATAATGCCATCAATAAGTCGAATATTTTCTCCAATGAATCTACCTTTAAGAAAACCCGTTTGGCCATAGTTAATAATATTTGGGATAACCTGTTTAAATCTATTGGCAATAGCTTTAGCTGCTATTTTGTAATCGCAGTTTAGTAGTGATATGGGGCGCGAATTTTTTATTAAATTGGGTTCTGCATCTTTTTTTGGTATGAGTTTGATGATCCCTCTACGTTGAGTTACTGAGAGCTGGCCGCTACGGTAGGCGTAGTTTATCGAATTTAAGAAGAGGTCGGAGATATCATTCCAAAAGACTTTATAAAATTCTGCTGGTAAACCGACTGAGCCCGGGGTCTTGTTACATTCCATGTCCTTAAGTGCTTTTAGACATTCCTCTTTACTTAATAAACCTTTACAGGCTTTTTGTTCAGTTAGGTTTAGATTTTTCTCCGTTTGCATACCGAAGAAGATGCTGTTTGTCAGTTCATTTTGAGAGCCTTTGCTTGAACTGTAAAGGCGTTTGTAGGTTTCACACTCGTTCAAAATTTCTTTGTCTGTACTAACAAATTGTTCATCATCCAGTTTTAATTGACTTATTGTCCCTTGTTTGTAATTTCGTTTTTCTAGGTTTAAAAAGTATTTTGTGTTCTTTTCACCTTCATTGTGCCATCGGCACTTAGCCCGCAAAATTGTACCTTTTGTTCGGTGTTCAATTAGTTTTTCTAATTCTAATTTTTTGGAGTCCAAAGCGCCCAGGATGCCTTTCTTTTCCTTCTCATCGATATTGCTGGATTAAGCTAAGCGTTGTAAGCTGTTAATTTCTTTTTCAAGCTCCTCTTCATACCGTGATATTTTAGCCTTTTTGACCGTTGAGTATTTTAGAGGCTGTTCTCTAATTTTTAGTTTTATCATTTCCCACATAAGGGCATCATCAACGAAACTATCATTTTTGTATTCTTCTTGAGTATTTTTAATCGTAACACGTATTTGGTTTATGTAATCAATTTCTTATAGGAGCGAGGTATTAAGTTTCCAAAAACTCGGGCCTCTCTTATTAGAGTGGGTGGCAATCGTGACCTCTATTAAAGAGTGGTCTGTTTTGTATCCGTCGGCGATATTAGTGTCGCCCCATGTAAGGTAATCCGGATTCCGGAATCCAGGAAATTTTTGCACGTGGAATCCGGAATACTGGGCTCTGGAATCCAGAATCCAGCTTTTGGAATCCAGGATCCCGCTAAAAAGGGGAATCCAGAATCCACTTGCTGAAAATCCATT